CATCACCTGCGTGCAGTTTGCATGTTCTCCCTGTGACTGCATGGGTTTCCTCTGGGTACTCCAGTTTCCTCCCACACTCCAAAGACATGCTGGTAGGTGAATTGGCTCCTGTCCAAATTGTCCCTAGTATGTGTATGTATGAATGTGAGTTAGGGACCTTAGATTGTACGTCCTTGAGGGTTAGGGACCTTAGATTGTACGCCCCTTGAGGGTTAGGGACTGATGTGAATGTACAATATATATGAAAGTGCTGCGTAAATTGACGGCGATATATAAGTACATTTGTCATTGGACACAGCTGATCACATGGTAAAAGGGCGCTGTGATTGGCCTTTTTGCCTAGTCATGTGATCAACTGTGTCCATAGGACACAGCAATCACTGAGATGAAAATTCAGCAGCTACAAATCCTGTAGTTGCTGACGTTTAATAAATGGACACCTACCTGTCCAGGATCCAGCGCCGGCCTTACCCGGGCCAGTTCTTCACTAGCCTCCCAGTTCCCGGCACCGACATCCTAATGGTGGGCAGCCGACATGTCCCAGAAGACTGCGGGGAGGGAGGGGGAAAGAGAACTTCTGCTTGGATCGCCAAGGACAGGGGTCCCCAAACTTTCTAATGAAAAAGCCAGTTTACTGTCCTGAAGACTTTAGTCCCAGTGGGAGTTAGCATTGCCCTATCTTTAGTATCAGTGGGAGGAATAGTGCCCCATCATTGGTGTCAGTGGGAGGAATAATGCCCCATCATTGGTATCAGTGGGATGAATAGTGCCCCATCATTGGTATTAGTGGGAGGAATAGTGCCCCATCATTGGTATCAGTGGGAGGAATAGTGCCCCATATTGGTATCAGTGGGAGGAATAGTGCCCCATCATTGGTATCAGTGGGAGGAATAGTGCCCCATCATTGGTGTCAGTGGGAGGAATAGTGCCCCATCATTGGTATCAGTGGGAGGAATAGTGCCCCATTATTGGTATCAGTGGGAGGAATAGTGCCCCATCATTGGTATCAGTGGGAGGAATAGTGCCCCATCATAGGTATCAGTGGGAGGAATAGTGCCCCAATGTTGGTGTCAGTAGGAGGAATAGTGCCCCATTGCTGGTGTCAGTGGAATTGGTAGTGCCCCATTGGTATTAGTTGGAGGAATAGTGCCAAACATTGGACGAAATAGTGCCCCATCGTTGGTGTCAGTGAGAGGAATAGCGCCCCATTGTTGGTGTCAGTGGAAGGAATAGCGCCCCATTGTTGGTGTCAGTGGAATTGGTAGTGCCCCATTGGTATTAGTTGGAGGAATAGTGCCAAACATTGGACGAAATAGTGCCCCATCGTTGGTGTCAGTGAGAGGAATAGCGCCCCATTGTTGGTGTCAGTGGAAGGAATAGCGCCCCATTGTTGGTGTCAGTGGAATTGGTAGTGCCCCATTGGTATTAGTTGGAGGAATAGTGCCAAACATTGGACGAAATAGTGCCCCATTGTTGGTGTCAGTGGAAGGAATAGCACCCCATTGTTGGTGTCAGTGAGAGGAATAGTGCCATATCCGGTCCCTGCAGTTTGGAGACCACTGGTGGAAGTGGGAGTGGGTACCTGTCAAAACTAGGTACCCGCTCCCCCAAAATGAAATGCCAAGTTAGGCAGGGTGGGGAGGATGTCTTAAAGCAGAGCCTCCCCTTTTGGGTGGAGCTCCCCTTTAATACCACTGTAAAGTAGACCTAATTCCTACGTTTGCTCAGTCACTGTGTAGCAGAATAATAAAGCGCACATTGAAAAGATGAAAATGTTACATAATATACAAAAAGATACAAAATGTTACATAAGTGTGTCTTTGGGCAGATCGCTGTTCTCAGCCTTTATCAGTCACATTCTCAGGAGGAGTATACGGCAATCATTTTTTAAAAGGCTGAAACCAAGAATCCATTCATTTATCAGGTGATTAGTGCAAACGGCGCCCTCCGCAGATTTTCCAAGGGCAGGTCAGTCTGACTGATAAGTTAAAAGGTGCGAGGCATCCAAAATCGTGTTCACACTGCAGGAGATAGGAAACCAGGAATGTGCACATGGCGTGCTGCTTTCTGGCTTGGGAAAATGGACAAAGAGGCATTTATTGGAGGAGAACTGCGTTTTGGACCTTCTTTGGCACCATTGTTTGTTCATTGGTACATTTTCTTCACTATATGTATCCAGGGCCATCTTTATTATTGATTGGACCCTCAGCAAACATTTTCTTGCCCCCCCCCCCACCATGCAATTTCGCTCTCCACCTGCTCTGAGACATACAACATATAGCAGCTAAACTCAAAATAAATTTTCTGCAGCAGACCAGGCAGCAAATCATCACCGCTCACTGACTGATTTATAGAGGTTACTGCACACATTACAGCTCAATGACTAGTTGCTAGAGGTTACTACACATCATTACTGGCCATTGATTGGTTGCTAGAGGTTACTGCACATTATTACTGCTCGTTGATTGGTTGTTAGAGGTTACTGCACATCATTACTGGCCATTGATTGGTTGTTAGAGGTTACTGCACATCATTACTGGCCACTGATTGGTTGCTAGAGTTTACTGCACATCATTACTAGTCATCAATTGGTTGTTAAAGGTTACTGCACATTATTACTGCTCGCTGATTGGTTGCTAGAGGTTACTGCACATCCTTACCGATCACTGATTGGTTGCTACAGGTTACTGCACATCATTACTGGTCAATGATTGGTTACTAGAGGTTACTGCACATTATTACTGCTCACTGATTGGTTGCTAGAGGTTACTGCACATCATTACTGGTCTATGATTGGTTGCTAGAGGTTACTGCACATTATTACTGCTCACTGATTGGTTGCTAAAGGTTACTGCACATCATTACTGGTCACTGATTGGTTGCTAGAGGTTACTGCACATTATTACTGCTCACTGATTGGTTACTAAAGGTTACTGCACATTATTACTGGTCACTGATTGGTTTCTATAGGTTACTGCACATTATTACTGCTCGCTGATTGGTTTTTAGAGGTTACTGCACATCATTACTGGTCACTGATTGGTTTCTATAGATTACTGCATATTATTACAGCTAGCCGATTGGTTGTTAGAGGTTACAGCACATCATTACTGGTCAATGAATGGTTGCTAGAGGTTACTGCACATTATTACTGTTCGCTGATTGGTTGCTAGAAGTTACTGCACATCATTACTAGTCACTGATTGGTAGCTAGAGGTTACTGCACATTATTACTGTTCACTAATTGGTTGTTAGAGGTTACTGCACATCATTACTGGTCACTGATTGGTTGCTAGAGGTTACTGCACATTATTACTGGCCACTGATTGGTTGTTAGAGGTTACTGCACATCACTATCGCTTACCCATTGGTTGCTAGAGATTACTGCGCATTATTACTGCTCACTAATATAATATACATATGAATGCCACATTGCTGTCACTATTTACATATGAATGCCACATTGCAGCCGCTATTTACATGTGATTGCTGACACTATCTGCGCATGTGAGTACATGGCAATAGGACAGAGCTGGGAAGCATAGGTGACAGCACTTCACACTGAGATATCGAACACAATCCGGGACAAAGAATTCAAGGGACAAGGGAATGTAAACCAGTACAGTTGGCAAGTATAGAGTAGCTGCTTTGGGCCCCACAACAATGACCGGGCCCAGGGCAGCTGTCCGTTTTGCCCCTCCTTAAAGACGGCCCTGTATGTATTTGGGAATCACAATTAAAGCCCAACTGAACTTTGTTCGAAGCTGAAGGAAGGTACTGACCATGAATGAACAGTGCCTGGTGGCTGCTATGTTCATTGAAAATCTTCATCCCTCTGCTTCCCCCTGGATACTAACTTAACTGTGATCTTCTGGCACTGTGGGGGTTAATACAAGCGCCTGGACCTATCAAAAGTGCTAACTATATTGCCCTCATCTATTCATTGGAAGCAGTACTAATCCTTCGTGCAATGAATAGCAGTGGTGGATCTTTCATTCATCCACCAATCCTCCATTCATAGAGTGCTTTTTATTGAAGGAAGCAAGCTTAGAATTTTTTTGGGGGGAGGGTTTAAAGTGTTATTAAACCCACAACAGTAAAATCAGTCTGTAGATGCAGTAAAGCATGCTTGTTATACTCACTGTGGAACCTAATGGGTTAATCCTCTGCACTGTGTAAAAAGGCTGTTTGATCCTGTCTTCTCTGATCCTCCCCTTCTTTTACTGTCCCCAATCCATCTGCTGATAGAACATTGCAGCGGGGCAAGTTTGAACATGCTCTGTTTGGTGTGCATTGCTAGAAACTATTATTATTTTTTTTTTTTGGGGGGGGGGAGGGTACATGTGATCAGCACAGGGCCAATCAGCGCTTATCAGATAGAGGGTCAGGGGTTATGCAGCCTCATAGGACAACCAGGGGAGAATTAAAAATCCTCCTACAAGCTGTAAAGTGATTCTAATGGCTTATTTTTTTTAAATAAACACATCACACTTACCAGCTGTGTGCAGGGGTTTTGCACAGAACAGCCAGGATCCTCTTCTCGGGTCCCCTGCCGGCACTCCTGGTCCCTTACAGCTTGCTTTGGGGGCACCTGCTACTCCGTGTATCCCTGGCTGTGATTGACAGCAGTGGAAGCCAATGAGGAGAGGGAGTCCCGGGATAGCCGAGACTCCAGTACACATCGCTGGATCGAGAGGGGGCTTAGGTGAGTATTGGGGGGGGGGGGGGGGGCTTGGGGGGATGCTGCACACAGAAGGTTTTTAACCTTCATGCATAGAATGCATTAAAGTAAAAAAACCTTGAGACGTTAAAACCACTTTAACCAGTGCTCTGCTGGACACTGATAGAAGTCACAAGACTACTCTAACTGCTGATGAGAAAAGGTATTTTGCAGTTTATATTACTAAAATAATCATATTTCCATGTTGTGTATACTGTGGGAGACCAGATATAGTGAATGCAGGGTCCAGGGAGAGCAGATATAGTGAATGCAGGGTCCGGGGAGACCAGATATAGTGAATGCAGGGTCCAGGGAGAGCGGATATAGTGAATGCAGGGTCCAGGGAGACCGGATATAGTGAATGCAGGGTACGGGGGGAGCAGATATAGTGAATGCAGGGTCCAGGGAGAGCGGATATAGTGAATGCAGGGTCCTGGGAGAGCGGATATAGTGAATGCAGGGTCCAGGGAGACCGGATATAGTGAATGCAGGGTACGGGGGGAGCAGATATAGTGAATGCAGGGTACGGGGAGAGCGGATATAGTGAATTCAGGGTCCGGGGAGAGCGGATATAGTGAATGCAGGGTCCGGGGAGAGCAGATATAGTGAATGCAGGGTCTGGGGAGAGCAGATATAGTGAATGCAGGGTCTGGGGAGAGCGGATATAGTGAATGCAGGGACCGGGGGAGAGCAGATATAGTGAATGCAGGGTCTGGGGAGACCAGATATAGTGAATACAGGGTCCGGGGAGACCAGATACAGTGAATGCAGGGTACTGGAGACTGGATATAGTGAATGCAGGGTCCGGGGAGACTGGATATAGTGAATGCAGGGTCCGGGGAGACTGGATATAGTGAATGCAGGGTCCGGGGAGACTGGATATAGTGAATGCAGGGTCCTGGGAGACTGGATATAGTGAATGCGGGGGTCCAGAGTTTATTAACATTTTAAATACTTGGGTGTCACTATTTTTTTTACACTTTTTTTTTTCACTAAAACATTATTTATACTAATAAGGGAACCAAAAGTATCCTATGTGATTTTAATGTTTTTTTGGTACAGGTTCTCTTTAATGAGACATCAAGGGCTATTTGAGCCCCAATGTCTCATCTGCACTCTATTGAAGCTAATGGATCTCAGGTCATGCTCCATTAGCTACTTCCCTGGTCACAGTGGTTGGATAAAGTGACACTGAACTGGACCTGAATGGTGTCCCCCCTTCTTCCCACCACTGCAGCCACCTTTCTCAGGCTCTCCTGTCCAATCACAGAGCATGGGACTTCTGAGACTGCTGGCGACGGTGACACTACACAGAAACAGATCTTCTCTTGAGGATGTCATCACTTTTGGTTTTGGCTCTTTGTTTACTTGGCCGTTAGTGACCAGGTAAGCAGCCAATCAGATTGCTCTGTCTGATCGGCTGCATTGGAGAAAAAAAAGTTTCAAATAAAAGAAAAAATTAATTTAAAAAAAAAATGAAAACACAGTGGGCAGCACATTGGCTACATGGTTAGTATTTCTACCTGGCAGTACTAGGGTTGTTGGTTTGAATCCCAACCACGGTTCCACCTGCCTGGAGTTTGCATGTTCTCTGCATGGGTTTCCTCCAGGTACTCTAGATTCCTCCCACACTCCAAAGACATGCTGGTAGGTTAATTGGATCCTGTCTAAATTGTCCCTAGTATGTGTATGTATGAATGTGAGTTAGATTGCATGCTTCTTGAGGATTTAGGAACTGACGTGAATGTACACTGCTCAAAAAAATTAAAGGAACACTGAAAACCCATCAGATCTCAATGGGGAAGAATCTCCTGCTGGATCTCTATACTGACATGGACGGGGTAATGTGTTAGGAATGTAAGGATGCCCCATCGTTTGATGGAAATGAAAATTATCCAGCTACAGATAACTGAATTCAAAGACACCCCAAAAATAAAAGTGAAAATTTAATGCAGCAGGTGAGTCCATTTTTCTGAAATTTCATTGCAGCAACTCAGAATGGTCCTCAGTAGTTTGTATGGCCCCCACGTGCTTGTATGCATGCCTGACAACGTCGAGGGAGGCTTCTAATGAGACCACGGATGGTGTCCTGGGGGATTTCCTGCCAGATCTTGACCAGGGCATCACTGAGCTCCTGGACAATCTGAGGTACAACCTGGTGGCGTCGGATGGATCGAAACATGACATCCCAGAGGTGTGCTATTGGATTTAGGTCAGGGTAGCGTGGGGGCCATTCAATGGTATCAATTCCTTCATCCTCCAGGAACTGCCTGCATACTCTCCCCACATGAGGCCGGGCATTGTCGTGCACCAGGAGGAACCCAGGACCCACTGCACCAGCGTAGGGTCTGACAATGGGTCGAAGGATTTCATCCCGATACCTAATGGCAGTCAGGGTGTCATTGTCTAGCCTGTAGAGGTCTGTGCGTCCCTCCATGGATATGCCTCTCCAGACCATCACTGACCCACCACCAAAACGGTCATACTGAACCATGTTACAGGCAGCGTTCTCGTTCTCCACGGCTTCTCCTGACCCTTTCACGTCTGTCACATGTGCTCAGGGTGAACTTGCTCTCATCTGTGAAAAGCACAGGGCGCCAGTGGTGGACCTGCCGATTCTGGGGTTCAAATGCAAACGCCAATTGAGCTTTATGGTGCCGGGCAGCAAGAACAGGACCCACTAGAGGATGTCGGGCCCTCAGACCACCCTCATGAAGTCTGTTTCTGATTGTTTGGTCAGAGACATTCACACCAGTGGCCTGCTGGAGGTCATTTTGTAGGACTCTGGCAGTGCCCATCCTCTTTCTCCTTGCACAAAGGAGCAGATCCCGGTCCTGCTGATGGGTTAAGGACCTTCTACCACCCTGTCCAGCTCTCCTAGAGTAACTGTCTGTCTCCCAGAATCGCCTCCATGCTCTTGAGACTGTGTTGGGAGACACAGCAAACCTTCTGGCAATGGTAGGTATTTATATGCCATCCTGGAGGAGTTGGACTGCCTGTGCAACCTCTGTAGGGTCCAGGTATGGCCTCATGCTGCCAGTAGTGACACTGACCCTAGCCAAATGCAAAAACAAACAGAAAAGATGAATAGGAGAAAAAATGTCAGTGGCCTCCACCTGTAAATCCATTCCTGTTTTGGGGGTTGTCTCATTGTTGCCCATCTAGTGCACCTGTTGTCAATTTTATTAACACCAAAGCAGCTGAAACTGATTAACAAACCCCCTCTGCTACTTACCTGACCAGATCAATATCCCAGAAGTTTCATTGACTTGATGCTAGACTCTGGTTAAAAAGTGTTCCTTTAATTTTTTTGAGCAGTGTATATGTAAAGCGCTGCGTAAATTGATGGCATTATATAAGTACCTGTAATAATAAACAAACAAACAAATAAATAAATAAAGCACCCCTCCCCCATGTTTATATGCAAACTCATATGTAAGTCCCGCACATATGTAAATGGTGATCTCACCACAGCTGTGACGTGTCGGAGCGACAGCAATCATTTTAGTTCCAGACCTCTTTTGTAACCTATACAGTAAAGGCTTTTAAAGATTTTTAGGTACCGTAGTTTGGCACCGTTCCACGGGCATACACAAGTTTAAAGCGAGACATGTTAGGTATCTATTTGCTCAGTGTAACCTCATCTTTTAGATTTTAACAAAAAAGTCAGTATTATATATGAGAACGGAAATAAAAACGCGCTACGACTCCGCTGGATGTCAGAAAACATAGCAGCTAGCAGGATACCATAATACATAGTATAATAAACATCACAAAACAATAGTGCAGCACTAAGATCAATTAAAATGTATGTGCAATACAACAGTGCAATGCAAAGATATATAAAGCTCTAATGTGTCACTACAAATTGAAAAAAAAAGCAATCTGAATGTGAAGCCAAAAACTGTGAATTCAGTGGTTCTTTGATTATGAGAGAAATGACAGATGTGGATACCAAACGCCACCAAAACTTCTTAATGATGAACCATAGAGCACCACGGTGTACAACAAAGGAAGGCTTACCGGAATCATATGACCCCCAATTAACCTCCCTAGCGGTCTGATTATGTCCATATTTCTGTGCGCAAAGCGGTACATTTTTTTGCATGGAAATATGTCGTTTTTTTTATTGTAGGCCTGTAATTCTTAGGAATAACTCACTGAAATCTGTCCGAACAAAAGTCTAGTAAACATCCCGGGGATGATAAAACTTGAACACAAAATCATAAATTATAATTTAATAAATAATCATAAAAAATAATAATATAATAATATAATACATTTAATTCAATAATATAATCAAAACAAAAACACTGAAATTGAAATAGAGCGCCAAGTTCGCACATCGCTGAGCAAAGTCGCAGAATCGTTTTCAGTGTCTGATGAGGAATTTCCCCCACGAATCATTATCACTCAATTCTGCAAGTGGTTCTGATTTACTATCGCTGTTCTCTAGCCGGTCTAAAACCGCGTCTGACCTAAAGGGACACTTTTTGGACGCCATGGACGTTTCTCAGTTTCCAGGCAGAAAGAACAGTAAAAATGCAGGCAGGTGCCGGACAAAGCACTCGGGACAAAATGTATGTGAAATGGTTTGATACAGGAATGTTATACTATGTGATTTTAGTGTATTTAGTGAATGTCACTTCTAAAATTTTCATATTTCCCGCCAGTTCCATCCCCCGTACGTCCCGACGTCACAGGGAACGGAACCCGGAAGACGGATGCCGGCATTGGCCGGAGGACATTACAGGGGACACTGCAGGGGGGGACATCGCGAGAGCGCAGGACAAGGTAAGTGCAGAAGAGATCCCGGAGCAACGCTGCAGTGTATTCCTGAGTGTAGCTCGGGGTCACCGCTTGTGGTGCTGAAACTTTACCCCGAGCTACACTCAGGAATACCGCCAGGGGGGTTAAGAAGGGCCCACAAGTTCTCAATAGGGTTTAGATCAGGTAAGGAAGGGGGCCATGTCATTATTCTTTCATCTTTAAGGCCTTTACTGGCTCCCCACACAATGGAGTACTTTGATGCATGGGATAGAGCATTGTCCTGCAATATCATGGTCTTCTTGAAAGATGCAGACTTTTTTCTGTACTACTGCTTGAAGAAAGTGTCTTCTAAAAACTGGCAGTACGTTTGGGAGTTGATTTTGAGTCCATCTTCAGTCCAAAAGGTTCAACTAGCTCATCTTTAATAATATCTGTATCCCACCTCCTTATAATTTAATAAATAATCCTAAAAAATAATAATATAATAATAAATTTAATTCAATAATATAATCAAACCAAAAACACTGAAATGTGAAATATAGCGCCAAGGTCGCACATCGCTGAGCAAATTCGCAAAATCGTTTTTAGTGTCTGATGACGAATTTCCCCCACGAATCATTATCACTCAATTCTGCAAGTGGTTCTAATTTACTATCGCTGTTCTCTAGCCGGTCTAAAACCGCTTTTGACCTAAAGGGACGCTTTTTGGACGCCATGGACGTTTCTCAGTTTCCAGGCAGAAAGAACAGTAAAAATGCAGGCAGGGCGCCGGACAAAGCACTCGGGACAAAATGTATGTGAAATGGTTTGATACAGGAATGTTATACTATGTGATTTTAGTGTATTTAGTGAATGTCACTTCTACAATTTTCAAATTTCCCGCCAGTTCCGTCTCCCGTACGACCCGACGTCACAGGGAGCAGAACCCGGAAGACAGATGCCAGCATCCGCCGGAGGACATTGTCGGGGACACTGCAGGGGGGACATCGCGGGAGCGCAGGACAAGGTAAGTGAAGAAGAGATCCCGGAGCAGCGCTGCAGTGTATTCCTGAGTGTAGCTCGGGGGGGTTACCGCTTAGTGGTTAGTGGTTCTAATTTACTATCGCTGTTCTCTAGCTGGGCAAAAACCACTTTTAACCTAAAGGGACACTTTTTGG